TTACGAGGGTTTGTCCTGACAGTCAACATGTATTAAATTGTAACAGTGGTGCACTCACACCCAAAATATGTGCAATACTAAACCATATACTGAAATGTCCATTAGGCCAATCATAAATGCGCCAAATAGATAGGGCGCGAAAGTTTCTAAAATAAGAATTTTGGTGAAAGTTGAACATTTAAACTATCCCTATGTTTTTTTCTAAATTGTTGAACATGCAGTAAAAAGGTTTGTGTTTTACCAAGGATACAGCAAGCATGAATCCTAAACTCTAAATCAATAGTAAATACAGCACTAAGCTATAAAATATATAGGGTACCTTGGATTTCATTTCTTCCAAAACGGCAATGATACTTTCATAATACATTTCCTGTAAAGATTCTGAATAATGTCAGCTGAAATACATTTCGTGTTGAATTACGAGTACTTTCGGTTGGTAGATATTTATTTCTTTATTAATCCCCCCTCTTACTTCAGCATAATTGTTGATGATATTTCGGCCAATAAAACCTCCTAAACAAATGATATACAAAGAGATATATTGATTTACTAAATTCAGCTCATACAGAAATATAACAAGGAAATCCATAGGCACATATTTGGTTTGCAGAATCCTATCTTATCTTATCTTATCTTATCTTATCCAATGTATGTACATGTAATACTTGTAATGTTGTTATTTAGAATAACGTAGTCGGCTACTTCAAAGCTATAGTCACTTACATTAAACAACATATAAGCACTGTTTCGTAGAATTATGTGAAAAGATGTTATGATAAATGTTCACATTCCTGGGTCATATCGTTTGACCTCTTATTGGTGTGTAAGTCTTTATTTTTTAAATCATTCCACGCGTGTTGATGACAATAACATCTCTGATAAAAGAACTCAAATGCAGCAGGACAATATGCTATTAGAGCGTAAGGAATACTTAATAAAACGATGATAATTAATTGATTAGCTAAAGCTGTCTAAAATTCAGGAGCGGAAACAAACGTTACGACTTCTGAAAACGTGACAACTGGTGAGTCAGCANGCGGAAACAAACGTTACGACTTCTGAAAACGTGACAACTGGTGAGTCAGCATTTAACATTCAAATTCACGAACAAATTTTATTCGTGTCATTCATTTATAAATGCCTTATTATGTCTTATAACAATATTTCTATCAGAAAATTTGAAAAAAACCATCCTCAACCTTAAACGTTATTTAACAATATATCATCTGACTAATAAACGGTTTTAATTTCCTCAAAGCTTTCCAAAACACGGTTGGCATGACAGTATTTTAAAGCGTAAATAACACTGTATACAAACGAATGAACTTTTGTTTAATTTTATACAAAACTGTCTAAATTCAGGGCAGGAAACATCCGGCACAACTCCGAACAACGTTACAACTGGTAAGTAAACATTCATGCTATATTTTGTTATATTTGATGTCTCCTCAAGTCTTGTTATGTCCGACGTTATGGCATATATGTTTTTATTTTTACTTAACTGCGTTTAATTAAACTTAAATGTATTGCACAGTGTCCATAGTAAACCTAAAAACGACAGAAACTTCCGCAAATTACCAAACAACCGATAAGTCAACATTAAACAAGCCAACGCCTACAAAAAAAATGTTAACGATATCTATCATTTTGGAATTACTTAAAGTCTCTTTCCGTTTCTTAATAACTAAAAACTACATTTGTTACATACCCAATATATTGATCATGTCATACATGTACAATATATACAAATTATTTGACAAATGAAATCATGATAAAATGCTGTTGAAAAAAGAAGACATTACAGGCTAAAAGCTTACTGAAAAACATATATTGGCCATGTCATAAAATATTTACAAATTAATTGACAAATGTAATTGTAATATAATACTGTTGCAAAAAATCGATATTTGAGGCTAAAAGCTAACTGAAAAATACACATAACCACTATTTTCATAGGTGTTTTGTTAATTTTTCATGATTAATGATCACATATTTAATATTTTGTTTTGTTTAATTATTTTTTCGTTTCTGTTTTGACGAATTGTTTCCTTGTGATTTGATGAACCTAAAAACTATCTATCAACTTAAATGTATGTTTATTGATCAATGAAAGAAATTTTTCCTTCAGATATTCTACTCGTTACCAGGCTGATATTATATAAATATCACATTCATGAGAGGGCGATATTGCATATTTTCACCCTAAGGAAGCATTTCCGAGGGGTGAAAATATGCAATATCGCCCTCTCATGAATGTGATTTTTATTTGATTATACCGAGTGTCATGTTTAGGTGTTTCACCACTTCACCATTTTTAAAGGTCCTTGTGTTGATTTGACATAAACCAAGACTTCATCTTAACAGTTGTCGAATGAACCAACCATGAATGTGATTTGATACATGTAACACCCTGGCACTGGGACGAACCGTGCACACATACGTTTGGCGCATGTAACATTTTTTGGAATAACACCCTGGCACTGGGACGAACCGTGCACGCATACGTTTGGCGCATGTGATATTTTTTAATGTCACTCTGTCTTCTTAATCTTTGTAAAACGAGCAAGAAACATTGAAAATGTTCACATCTTTCTCAACCAATCAGATTACGAGATTTTAACAGAAGGTATAATAATTAATATTCTACCACGTTTGAGATGAAACGACACTTTTCATTGATTAATAACCACTGATAATTGGACGATAGACCATGCGCGTGCATGTATTATTTTCCATCAGACGAACGCTCCCCTAAAACCCTCCCTCCAAGGCGATTGATTCCATTGGTCGAATGAGGGTACTTGCATTTAATTTGTATGTCTTTTAAGATTTGCTCGCCTTTTTACTGGCGTTGAATGCAAATATTTGGAAATGACACGTTTCATCAAATATTTCAAATACAACCACTCTTTTCTAAAGTGTTGTGTAAATAGTATTTGGACAAACTGTTTACAATTTGGTATCAAAAATATTTGGCCTCTGGTGTTTATTTTTTTTTTTTTTTTTTTATATCTTCACATGGTTGGATTATTCCTGCAAATTAGTCAGGATAATTTGCTTTCCGATTTTTATTTTTTCTTAAAGAAATTCGAAAAGATAGTTTAACTGACAATACTGTTGAGCGGCAAAAATGCTGCATACAGAATTAAAAACTACTGTTTTGACGACAAAGAAAACGTTTAAATTCATGTCCGGAAACAAGCCCTTCGTCTCAAAACAACGTTACGATAAGTATTAATCAGCATCTCTTTATACATACAAAACCGCGAATAACCCAAATATTTGGAAAGAATAGAGTTCATAGAATAAAATACAAATAATCACTGATTTGTTTAATGTTTTGCATTTCTGAATCAGTTAGTTACAATTCTTAATTATTTTAAGTTCGTTCATAATATCTTTCTATCCTGTAATAATAATTGCATATTAACAAGGGGATCCGATTTTGGTCTTGTAGATGGACGCCTAGGCATACTCGTTGTATTGTATCTATAACTATACCTGCTAATTGGTTATCACCGGATAATATTCATTACTTCTGAACGTGCTAGTATAACATTGACAAACTTTATTAAAAAATTATGACTTATCGTTTGATAAAATGAACTTTCTCAATTTAATTCAGGTCACGAAGAAACTGACACAACTACAAACAGTGTAACGACTAGTAAGTAAACATTTAAATTTCAAATTCTTAGTATGTTAACTAATAAGTAGAAATTGTTTGGTAATACACAATATACATATTGTTGTCACAAAAGGATTTTGTATGTCACGAGTATTTTTCTCCGCTAAAATTAGAATTAATGAGAACAGGTAGCTCCAGAAACTAGTACAACAAGATTAATGTTTCAGCTACACCTCCTGTTCCAAGCCTGACAGTAACGCCTTCTGAAGTCGTGATGGAGGACGGGGATCCAGTAACATTGTTCGTCAATTACTCTGATGCCACGCCCTCTACGCTGTACGCAACGGTAGACGATACAAATGGAATCCAAATCATACTATACGAGACAAGAATACTTGACGTTGCTAATCAGACAGGCGATGGGACAATCAATGTGACTATTGATTCCGACGATTTCAGTGACTATGGCAACTACAGTGTTATCTTGCACCTGATTACTAACATAACCAATGTGACAACGACAGTACTGATACACTACGAGCAACGCATCACGAGCCTTCATGTGAGAACCTTTTCAATAATCTTTCCCAGAGATCATAAAACGATCTAAAATCTGTTTAAAGCTAACAGTGCAAGTCAAAAAAAGCTTTCATTATTAAAAAAGAAAAACACTTATTTTTCTGGTTTTGAGATGTTCCCCGGCGACTTTTATTCCGGCTGTCCTATCTTAGGAAACGCCGACATTTTAGAATGTACGTCATACGTGAGTCTAAGATTGTTTTATTATCCCGAGGCCTCGACACTGCGTTTACCTAGATACATTTATTTTACAAATTATCATACAGTATATTCCACTACATTTTGTTATATACGTTTTAAGATTTTGAGTTTTTACCATATAACTATATATTCCGTGGTGGAATAATTTCCTTTCTTTTCGTGATAGTTGCTATGCGATAACTTAAAACTCGTTTAAAACATATTCCGATTAAAATTGAAAGAAAAAAAAGAAAAATGAAGACTTCCATTATAAAACGAAAGTCATTACTTTCACGCTGTATTCCGACGGTCATTGTCCTGCATAATCAAATATAGAAATATATATCTCATATGTTGATATCAGTTTAAAATTTACATGCTTAAGGGTTGTGCTTTTACCGCTGAATTATCAATGCTATTATGATGTATTGATTCTCTAAACAAAATACTTCAAACATTTATAAAGTATTCGGGTAGCATTTTTATACCACAGTGTCATAACAAACACGACTATAGCTTAAGTTGGGTAATCTGCTTGCCAATACAACTGCTAAAACTGCTGCAATATTATCGCATATCACTACTGACAACATTGTACTTTTAGTTCTGAAAAGTCGTGGATTACTTTTCAAATGTGTTTTTCGTTATATTTGGTTTTTCTATTTAAACATTACTGATTCATTATCGTAATACAGCCTCCTCATTAATGTAAGTGTGAATATTAAATACATAGAATACCTTGTTAATTAGTAAATATTTTATCATTACAGATAAATAGTACTTCGAAACACGTTGCCGTGGAAACAAAGGTGACTTTCTTTCTGTACCTCAGCTCCGGTAGCAATGTTCTTATTGAATGCTACATAGACGAGAACGTTCTTGTATTGACAAAACCACTCAATCAACAGAGACGTACAGAACTATCATATAAGTTCAAGAAAGCCACAACGACAAACTTTACATGCAAAGCCTCTAATAGGCTAGGACACGTAAATGCGTCAATGCCCATTGTATCTCAATATCCGGTTGCGGGGTTCTCCTTGCAGAGAAATCAATCCCTGGCCAAAACATCAGAATTTGTTTACTTTATTTTAACTTTTGCCCAATCCACTCCTGCTCCGATGGGCAACGTTCAGGTGAATGTTTCTTTTGGTGATGGTGAAAATCAATATGTTCGATTAGACGACATGGAAAACTTCACTTCTATGTACAAGAATCACTCATATGTGGACCAAGGGAATTATACAGCGATTTTTCGTATATATTCTGAAATCAATACTCTTACCCTTCGCCATGAGACTTTTATCTGGAACCCACTCAATTTGTCTTTGACAGCGAGTTCTTTAGAAGCCGAAGTGAATCAAACAATACAATTCTATTTATATCCGGCGGGCTTCGGTTTTGAATTTGCGGTTCAGTACGGCGATCACATAGAGAAGAAAAGTCCGGATGGAGCTCTTTATACATTCTTCAATACATCCACGTGGATGTACGCATATTCAAATCCCGGCATGTATGTTGTACAACTGACAGCTTGGAATCCATTCTACACAACAAGCACCAGCTTTTCAGTCACTATACAATACCCTCTTCCAGACGCTGTTATCAATTTATCACCCCAATATGAAGAGATACCGATTCCAGACGGAAACATGACATTCAATTTATCGATGGACTCTGACTTGCCATCCCCAACTGATGTAGTCTGTATTTTTGATTTCGGAGAAGACAAAAACATAAGTAGAACCCAAACAAAAATAGAATTCGGAGTACCAGTTATTAAAACCTTTAAATATGAAAGACCAGGTTTAAAACTAGTGCGTTTCGTTTGTTTTAATATGGTCAGTAACTCAACTAAAACATCAACGGTGTCTGTTAGAGACTTCAAACTCCAGAACTTTACCATTGCTGTGCCAGACGAAGTGATGATGAACATGAGCATCACTTTGCCTACAGACGAAGATGGGGCGGCTGTCTTCTCTAATGATCCCGTTCATGTAGGTTTCTCAGTGTCCCTATTCAACTGTTCCCGACTCCCTCCCGACATCGATATAGCTTGGGACTTCGACACAGGCAAAATTTCAGAATGGTATTCTCTTGTGTCAGGATATATTCAACATCAATTCACAGACAGAAGAATCCACACAGTCCATGTGCATTTGCGATCAGCAGACGAGAACCACACTTCTGTTTTTGAAGTCAAGGTCGGTGTAGTGAATTTTACAACAAGCGCATTTCAAGGATATCTTCAGGTTTCAAACGAGCTAACATTTACTGCTAGTGGACCTTCAGAACTATGCAATTATTCCATTAATTTCGGTGTCGATGACATTGTTCGTATTAACAGCACTACACGTATGAATGTAACTTTCATCTACGAACAATATGGGGAATACTATCCCCATCTCACTGTCCAAAATGAGCATTTCTATGAAAGACTCTACCTAACGAAAAAGATTAAAATTGACTACATTTTACCCCTGATTTTTACCTTTTCCAATACCTCAGTATTGATACCACCAGGTGATATCGTCGTCAACATTAGCATTAAGGAGACAACTCCTATGATAACGTGTTCTTTTCAAATGGGAGACAAACTGGATACTGATGAAAGGGTCATCTCACAAAATATTTCTGCATATAAACCCCTCAGTTTTCACTTCATGTACCAAACGTTTGGTAGCCATGAAACATTTATATATTGTTATAATTTGATCGACAACGTTACAAAGACAACAGAAGTTCAGGTCATCAATAAATGTTTTTCCTACGGGGGTGAGATCGCAGGAATATTTGCCTGGCAGTTTTACGAGAGCAGTAACCCGCTTATTGTTTCAACTTCGGAAGAAACTGACTTGTCCAATCGAATGGCTGTCGAGTGTTTTCGGCAAAATCCTAACTTTGACTGGAAAATAAATAATAAAAGTGTATCAATCAGTGATAACAAAGGAACATTCCGGTTTCATAGAGCAAGTATGGAACCGGGTGACTACAAAGTCAGTTTGAACGTGACATTGGACGACACGTGGCACGTTGAACATATATACATTCGATTCATTAGACCAAGTCCTTTTGCAAGGATCAAAGGAGGTTCAGAGCGCAATGTAACGCAAGGGATAGTTCCTATAGATGCAATATCTACGTCCTACAGCATAGAACATGGCTACGGTCACACGGATGGTCTTAACTTTTCATTTCGATGTTACAGGTATGTATCAATTAGTATTAATACCGTTTTCTATCGTTGATACTCCGTTTCCCAGTGTCAACTTTAATGGAGACTGCAGTTTTCACTGGATCAGGTATTTTTGTTCTCGGTAACATCTTAAAAATGCTTGACATACTGCGAGCAAAACACAAGAGAATTCTACGTTTGCTTTTCGTACTGAAAGTAGCCTCCCTATATAATGAAAAGTTCTTTTTACACAACCAATAATAGTTTCTATGTGACGTTTCGATGACTAGTACGTTATCTACACTGTCACGTAAGTTTTGTTTGTTTGGCTGTATTTATCATCAAGCTTTTTGCATGGTATTCGTTTCAATTTATCCGTTCCGTTATTTGACTCTGATCTGCAATAGCAATACTGAGGATTGGAAAGGAATATTTACATTTTACTTGTCCGCTAAATTCCTAAAAGTTTTATTAAATAACCTTTACAACTAGTCATGTTTGTACATAACATAGTACAATATCATCAACTGTGAAAGTGGACATTTTCGTGATGAGGAAAGGGTCGTATTTTTCGCGAGGAGTAAACTAGCGCAAACATATCAACACGCCAATATCAATTTATAGATTATACAGATAAAATGTAAGATAGATTTCAGAACAATTGAAAACGCGAAAAAGAATCGAAAACGCGATCAGCTTAAAGAGTCATGCTGGACCATTTCTGCCCGCGATAATTTTAACTTTTTTAGCAGTATGATACTCTCTGTTACAGATCAGCTCATACAAATTTTTCCAACATCCGCGAAGAGTTCTCAGACATCATCACAAACACGAGCTTAATAGAATACACCCCTGGTAATCTTACCCATCATGGTACGGATTGTGGAGAGGCATTTGAAGTCACTTCAAGAGGCGTCGCTACGCTTGACGTGAATGCATCAAGTACGGACAATGGTTTTCTGATTGCTCTGAAAGTCAGTCAGAGCAACACAACCCCGAGTGTCTTCTTTCAGGCAATGAGTATAAGTAAAGATGATCGACCTCAAGTTGAAATCAAGTACGTATACATTTCTAAACCTAGGGGCTATCGAATCAGTTTGATCATGTAAAAATCAAATACGAAAGCAGAAATTAAGGGAATCAAACACAACTTCGAACTAATAGCGTCATTGTATATACTAGTGTAAGTGATAATGAATGTCGTCTTATAGTAATAAATGAGTTTATTTGCACCAAAAAAGATTAAGACGTTTTGGCGGAACATGCTAGTGTACCGGTAAAAAAAGGAAGGGAGTGAAAGAGAGAAATAGTTTTTTTAAGCCATTATATCATATTCGATATTACAAAATGCATTTCCATTTTCCATTTTTCTGTTTCACTGTTAATGCGCGCATTTGTTTTGTTGCACAATGCGCTCTTCTCCTTTCAGATGCGAGATGAATTGCAGAGACAAGCTAGCGATACAGAGTCAACTGAAACTCAGGGCAGAATGCAAAACAGATTTTGACATCTCCGAGTCACTGATTTATGAGTGGACTCTCTTCAAAATTGGTTCAAACGAGAACCATGAGAGTGTGGATCTATCGCAAAATAAAACACAGACAGGTTATCATGCATTGTTGTTTTTTAAAATATATTATTGTAGGGATAATTTTTACCGTACAATGCACCATATAGGTAATGTGCTGCATGCTTTTTAATCTTATTTAAATATTAAATTTACATTAAAATGGTAATTCTTTATTTTGTTACCAGAAAATGTAACTTCCTCAAAAACAAATATCCTTGAACAGTACTTTCTGTTGCATACTAGTATTATTTTAAAGGTTGTCCTTAGAGAGAAACCGCATGCAAACGCTATTTATAACTTTTTTAACTGAAAAAAATATATCTTTTTATTCCCCTTATCAATTTAAAGTTCACATAATTTTTTAGTTAATTTTTCTTTGAATCTTTATGGTACGACAGAAAATCAATGTTTGTATCAGGAAAATAATATATGCAATGATAATTTGTACTGAACAGGGACAGAACAAAAAATACTTGTGGTGAATGATGGTGTGTTTGACGAAGGAATGACGTACATGTTCGAGGTAACTGTGACCCCTGAAACCCAGATGTCTTCTGGGAAGGCAAACATCTACTTCAAAACAAACATGGTACCATATGGCGGTCACTGCTCTGTGCCACCCCCATCAGGTATTTTTTTTGTAGACCTCAATACATCGTAATTTCTGAAAGGTTATTTCACCTATGTCTGATAAACTGTTTTCAGGCACAACCACATTGAGATAATCAGCAAAAAAAGGTGTTTCACGTTTTTCGTTTTCGAGACCTCATGTTATCCCCTATTTTACAGTAAAATTTAATACAAATGTATTTTAACGACATTGTAAGGAATAAGTTGATGTTTTCAGTTTTTTTAGGAATTGGTATGACAACAAGATTCAAAGTAAAATGTGAGGAATGGAAGGACGAAGGTCAGCGAGACCAGAAAAGCAGTGAACTGGACGCGAAAGAATCTATAAAGTACGAGTATATTCAGGAAACAATGCGGGTAGTAAATGGAAAGACGGAAGTTTCACAGTCTGAACTGTTTTTCGGAGGTACGTAAGTTTTTTAATTTTACAAGTACTTAGTAATACGTATGATGATACTTATCATTTGTCTGTGTGTGTCGTGCCAAAATCGAAACGTGACATATTTCACCTTGACCTTGACCTCATGCATTGAAAGACAGTTGAGTGACCGCACAACGCACCAAACATAGCGTGCGCACACCGTCCGCACATCGTCCACACACCGTCCGCACATCGTCCACACACCGTCCGCACATCGTCCACACACCGTCCGCACATCGTCCACACATGGTGCGCACAAATGTGCGATTTAACAATCGTTCGCCCCGGTGTGCGTTTCTCGTCGCACAACTGTTCGATTGGATTCAGTTTGTAAATAAATATTACGGAATGAAAAAAATACGAAAAGCTCGTATGCAATAATGAAAACTGTATGTACATGTATTACTGTAATTTCTCATCACAGTTACGAAGTTTATGTACAGTTTTACAACGATTGTAACACAGCATTACACAGACCGTTAAATAGGTTTGGCTCAAAGGTAAGAGAACAGGTAAATAACAATTTGATGATTGACCGGAGTTTTACCTGGCCTGTACCTGACACATTGTCATAGAGCTGATATACGATACCGTACGACTGTAATGAAAACACAACTGGACATTTAGTATTTGTTATTGGCATTCGGTTTGCCTATAGCTCCCCTTCACCTGGGTTTTCACACCCCTGGCCCTACCCGACGAAATACGTAAGCGCCTCGGGCGGGGGGAAAACTACGGTCCAGGTTCATGTACAAAGTGGCTATGTTTACCTGTATACGGGACTGTGTTGTAGTTTCACATGTGTCGATTAAGGTCGTTTAAAAAATATCGAAAACACAATTTTTAATTTCAAGAAAGTATAGACATAAATATAAGCATATAGATGTAGATAGAATAAACACGAAACCGTATATATTGTTAAGGTATTCCTCAATTTACACCAACCACGATTGTTATCGCACAACGTTCGTCAATCGTGTAAAATTGTGTGATCCTGTATATCGGTTTCTGTTTCATGTGTGGATATCGTATTGGTTAGAACAACAAAACATTACGCTGTTTCGCGTTACTTATTAAACACTGAGGCTTCTAATTGAACTTTGACCTTGTCCTCAAGTCGCGTTTGAACTTTTTTTATTGCTCTCAGATGCGAAAATGTTGATTTTCGGATCATTCCATCATGTATGAACTCCCGACTTGATATGACAGTACATCATGAGAAAGCAGTGTGATACAAGGAAAATGAGACAGTCCGACTATCCTTTGACCTTTAACCTTGACCTTGAATATCTAAATACAGGTCTACGAGTTTTCGGGCATATCTGCTCGAAGATTCAAGTAGGTAGACCATAATTGGTCTGCATGTACATCATGGTCATTGGGTTTTTAGGGTAACAAAGTGAAGTCGATGTAACATATATTCTGTTGTATTTTCTATGGAAACATGTTGTCGTAGGAGAATCCACGAAGCCGACGCTTCGGCTTCAATCTTATATCCTTTTTTGGCACTTGATGTTTTACTATAATGTGCTATTGCAGTTATCTATTTATTAACATGGAAACAGTAATTATAATGCGCAAATGGAACACCACTTGCATTAATGTTCATATTCGTGCAACCATATGTGAAATAAATAGCTTGTCCTTCTCATAATAACAGAATGTATTTGATGTCAGTCAGTTTATTTCAGACTATTTTACTGTAACTTAGTAATTTCATATAACATCAAATAACAAGATACTTACAGCAGCTCACGTTCTTGTAGGAGAAAATTCAGCCACTCAGCTGCGACTTCAGGTCGGTGACGAAGCGTTTGATTACAACGTAACTGTTCTGGTCAGAGTCAAGGACATGTACGGAGACTTCACCGAAAATAGAGACGTTCACCTACAGGTAAGTGTATCGTGATATGTAGGAGAATAGAAACTAAAGAAAATTAATTCACCAATAAGTAAAAATGTCGTGATAAAAATTGAGATGAAAATATAAAAACAGATAAGCTCATCTGCATTGTAGCAACAATGCTATCGATGTGAAACCAAACGATACACAAAATCGATGTAAACCGGAGCAATACTAAAAAGTTTTCACGGATACAGAACATTGCAAAAGAAAAAAAAATTGTACTATCAGATATGTTTAATTCAAGGTACGTTTACTCTCAAATATGTTTAATCACATGTAAGTGTACGTAGATATCTTTGTTTAGATTTTTTCATCGACTTTTTATTCTAAAATAACTTTTCCTTACTTTGCATAATTTTGGTAAATTAAAAAAAAAAAAGATTTCAAAGTCACTGCCGCGACAACTTCCACTACGCAATTAGTTTAAAGAGTTACGATGTAAATATTTCCACGCACCAAAATTTCCACTTTTACAGTATCTGAAAAGCATTAGGATGTTTGAAAACAACTAATTTACTTGTTCCAGGTATATTATAATAAATCGTACGTACCAACGGACGAGGACGACGTAGCTTCTTTACAGGAACTCTTTGATAGATTCAACTCAATCTTCTACCCGTTACAAGGGGGAGGCAACAAGATAGCCTTGGTGCAGTTCGTCGGTTCAATGACAGCCATGCTGGACACCATAAACGTACGTAAGAAAAATGTTAAAACAGAGTGGGTTCTTGCCAACAGACCCATTGACTACCAGACATGTATTTCTCGGACCCCAGATAGGGATATCCCACATCATACTCCATGTTATGTTTTCGATATCGTCCGATCTTTCTGGTACCATTACGTGACAATCTTTACATTTTTACACGGAAGCATTCAAATGTAGCTCTAACAGTGCAGAGGCCATTTTTATTATAGGCACAAGACGGGATACTTGTAGTCTTAAGCAAAATTAAAAAGGGTTTTTTTTCGAACTAAAAGGTGCGAGAATAAAATCAATTGCCTGTAACTAAGCAAGATTGGGTTATCTCAGTCTCAGGGTAAGAATTTGTAACATCCCAAGCTTGGCTTACACCTCGGTTTGGACTATGTTACAGAAGTCCTCGACTGAGATAACCCGATCTCGCCCAGTAACAGGTAATATATTTTATTATGCAATTTTATGAAATGAAATGATATGATTCATTCATTCATGGTTATATTTTTTTACCATAACATATAAAGGTTTCGTCGGTTTGCTGAAATGCTTTTGTTTAGAGGGTAAGCGTACCAACAAGTTTCACAATATTATTACCACTGTCACTATAGTTAAATATTTGTTAAATTCCTTTTCAAAAGACATTCTATAAACAATATCTGTTGCGATGCAGTTACTATAAATTAGGTAAAAGGTTCCTTTGGTAAAAAAAAAAAAAAAAAAAAAAAAGATTATCCCAAGCCAAACAACTGTAGCATTAACCTTGAAAGTAATTTTGTTGTTGTTTTGATTTTTGCTTGTTTGTTAATTTTATAGAATGTTTAAAGGCGTTAAATGCTTGCTTGGTGTATTGCTATACTTATAACAAAGTGCTTATGCAATTCAATATTGCATAAACATTGTTAGTATGTAAACAAAATATTGGCGTCAAAGTAGAGTACCTCATTCATATCAACTTGTTGCCCAATTGAAGAAATTTACTATCAAATCTTGTGTTGACTGATGACCTAATTAAAGATGGCACTATCTGTTTAGTCATCATTTCATTTTCCATTAGAAGCATCCATTAGTCATGTAATGTAGATATTGCTATGCTTTACTTTGTGGTAAGTGTCATAAACTTAAACGTATTTAAAAAGAGCTAGTAATGTGGATAGTTTTTGTCCGTTGACGTTATCATCTGTGAAATCCCAGTTAACTAGCTTAAAACAAATATACGATTTCCTGAACATTGGAAACAACTTTAATAATAATATATACATGTAATTACACTTCAAGAAGTTCTATTTGTATGGCAGGTCATTTTAATAACTGACAAGAAAGGACAGTTTCTTTCTTTCTTATAACATACTGTTTTGGTTCCCTATTTTAAATCTTTGTATTTGTAACATTGACCCATTATGATTAAAAGTACTTAGAAACATTGTTAATTTATATAAGGCAACATCGTTCTTCGTGGAAATATTTGCAAAGTCCAGCATTCACAACTCCAACTACAGCAAATGCTATCAAGTGAAAACTGATTGCTACAAATTTGCTATTAGACGAGAAACTCAAAATACTACTATTTCTGACCTGAAAATCACACTCATTCAATACCGTTAGGTAAAAATATAAAAATAACTGTTCAGCAATAAACTTGCGCACGTTTTTTTGGGGTTTATTTACAGGTTTTTACTAACGGAAGCAGCAAACTTGATAACGAAATGTTAAAGGTATGTGAAAAGGTGTTTTTTTCTATTGTGTCTTTAACATCCAAGGCTATGTGAGGACGAATGTAAGGGGACATCACAGAAAAACGTGTAGATGGAAAAAAAAGAAAAAGATTCCATGTATTGCAATAAAGGCAGTAAACAAATTATGGCTAAGTGTAAGAAACTTTTGTAAAAGGTAAAAAAAGTCTTACGTTAGTCGCCTCTTACGACACGAATCGGCGGGATACAGCAGGCCTGTTCTTTCTCCGAACCGACAGCAATTATATGTTCATTCACGTGGTAGTATAGTTTTTCTATCTTGCATTCACGTTATAGTAGAGTTTTTTTTAATTATTTTTTTGCATTGAATCCCTTTCCCCACTTTTATAACAGAAAAACTACGACCTAGTGCTGACACTTAGAGGAGCTGTATCGCTGGAATCGAGCGAAGCCTTGAATGCTGTAGATACAAACAACGTGATGCAGAAAACAAAGGCCTGTTTAGGAAACCTGAACATTGTGAACGACTCCTCGCTGGTAAGTTATCAATGCCTGGTTGATGATGAAATATCTTCAAGTAGTTTTCTGCACACAGTATATCATATCAATCTGGCACATAACATTTGTGTGTGTGTGGGGGGGGGGGGGCCGAGCTGGTAGGGCGTCTGCCGTTCTGCTACCACTAGGCTTCCACTACTGGGTCGCGGGTTCGAGATCTGCGTGAGGCAGTCGCAAGGTACTGGTCGCAGGTTAGTGGTTTTTCTCCAGGTACTCCGGTTTTCCTCCACCACCAAACCCTAATACGCCCTTAAATGACAATAGCTGTGTAATATGACGTTCATATGGGTATTTATATTAACTTCTTTTTTACTTGAAGGATGTTGGTGTGGAAACTGCTTTAAAACTTGTCAATAATTTTGAAAATTTGACAATGATGAGGCCCTTTCCTGTTGAAGACTGGCAAAGCGTACTTAGTGGAATATCAGGTAAAAATATATATGAATATATATATATAACATTCATCGTTTGCTTTTGCTTGTTTGTAACAATGACAGTAATATAACGAACATCATCATAAAAACCTTATAATCATAATAATAATTCGAGGTTCTTATATACCGCTTTATCACAACCTAGTTCGCAGGTCGTCTCAAAGCGGTTCACAAATTCACAAATATGAACATGTTCATATGTTTACATAGTTTATCACAAAATACTCACGAATCTTTTTCTGGTACATGGTACTGTATTGTATGCGCTATGCAATTAGCCATGCGAGAAGGTTATATTACATTTAGTGTAAATTTAACCACACTTTCACCGAGATCAATGGGTTTATTTGTTATATTTCATGTGGAATTGTGTTGTTATTTTATAAGAAAAATAATGCAGTTTGCAGAGATCATTGTTACCTTACAATTGAAGTGACCCAAAATAGTAACATCGCGCTAATATACCATAATTCCCTACGTATTTCCCGCACTCTATAGGGTTGTTATTATTATACGGAATTCGGATTGATATATGTCTCGCATGTGCCCCGCTTTGACCATCAATGCACATATCGGTGAAATAAATTCAATGTAGACAACATATGAAATGAAACTAACTTAAACGCAAAAACCCAATGTTGATTGAGATGCTGGCAAAGTTAATAGACTATGAAGTGTAGGCCGCATCCAGCATTTGATGCAATGATTGAGATGTACTACCTAAGATGCATCTATGGTCCAAGTTTGTTTGGTCTAGCACTTATACGGTCAGTTAAACTACCGTAAACTCAAATGGTTAATGTTGACGCCGCCGCCGTCGCCAAAAAAAAACCCACCTTAAGTCTCGCTTCCGTTACATTGTGGCGGCTAGACTAACAAGAGCTTTCGGAGAACATCAAAGCTCGCCTATGTTTGCTATTATTATACTGGAACTATCAATAGCAACACATGTATAGTAAAACGTTGATATAGTGCCTGTCATTTTATTTGCCACCTCAGTTCCCACCAGGATATTTCAAGGACTGTTAAATGTGAAGAAACATCTATGTGAAGCGATTGTTAAGAAATTTACAAAGTCCAATAAAGCTGTTTTGGACGCTAAAATTTGAAAATATGGTTCAGCACATTGCTTACACTCAATACAAATGCTTCAACCTTATAATAGACAATAGCCTCATGATGATGGTGGTCCAACACCACCCAACAAAACTTGCCCAAAGACTTTAACCTCAAGCTTACCCCAAAACATGAATCAAGTCCAATGAAGCTGTTTTTGGCCCCTAAAATATGTAAATATTGTCCAGAACATTGCTAACACTCCATATAAATACTTCAACTTTATAACAGACAACAGCCTATTGATGGTCGTTGTCCCACACTTCACAAAAAAACTTTAACCTCAAATTTACCTTAGTCCAACTCAGCTGTTTTTGGGCCATAAAATATGAATATATGGTCCAGCACATTGCTTACACTCGATATAAATGACCTAATCTTATAATAGACAGCTGTGTATTGAGTGTGATGATCCAACACTGTCTGGAAAAAACTTGCCCAAAAACTTTAACCTCAAATTTAACTAAGTCCAATTAAGCTGGCTTTGACCATAACATATGAAAATAGGGTCCAGCACATTGCTTACACTTGATATAAATAACTAAAATTCATAATAGACAACTGTGTATTGAGTGTGATGATCCAACCCTGTCTGGAAAAAAAATTACCACAAAAACTTTAACCTCTGAAGGTTCCCGGACGCCGACGCCGGGGTGACTACATTAGCCCCCCTATTCTTCAAATAGGCGAGCTAAAAATGACTTTGCCGGGTTATCTGGGGAAGTCGGATAACTTATGAAACGAGCTATCATTGTATCTGGATTTTATTATACGTTTATAACATGTTAGTGTTCATATGTTTACACATGATTGTCACAGGTATACATTTTTAAATTTCTATCACTTAATCAATTCTAAATCAATTTAAAATTGAACGTCAGACAAAATGATCACCGGAAATGTGAAGAAATGAATACCACTTATTTGGCACAGTGCCATATCCTCCTGTGGTACATCCTAGTATTTAGTTTAACAGGGGCCACGTGGGTCGAGTGATTAAGGCGTCAGATCGTCTACGATCACAAGCCCTCCACCACTGGATCGCGGGATCGAGGCCTACGCGGGTACGTCGCAAGACAGTGGTCGCAGGTCGGTGGATTTTCTCCAGGTTAGCCGGCTTTCCTCCACCACTAAAAACCTGACACGTCCTTTAATGACCATAGCTGTTAATAGAACGTAAATAATAAACAAACTTAATTTAATTTGACTACACAGCGATGATGATCCCTTCATTATATGAGTCGCTTGAACTTCCGCGGGCTATCCTCCGGTGCGGATAGCACGCAGGAAATAACTGTACTTAAATAGTGACTCACGCGTGATCACGTCTTTACAAATGAGATTTCAGAATATACGGAAAATATTATTAGGTGTTTTTGTTAAGTCAACTTTCTGTAAAACTACTTTACATTTTTATTATTCAAAACAAGTGCATTTGTTGTTTACATTTTTATTATTCAAAACCAGGTGCATTTGATGTCGTGGATACTGCGATCGGAAAGCTGGTTCCTGATACGTCCATTATGTCTGACACAGTGACTTATGATAGCGTCGTAAGAGAATATGACTTGATGCATCCAACCAATAGTACTCGAACAGAAGAGGAGCTGGCCCAAAGACAAGAACGGATACAAAAGGCCTACAATGACAAACTAGACACGCAGGAACAAATCGAGAAGAGACTTGAGTCTGGTCAGGTGACGAAGTGTCCAAATTACCTGTCTTGTTTATGGTCATTGTATATACCGCGAAATCTCAAAAATTAGATTTGCAAAAAAAAAGAGTTGTGAAAATTATATTATCGACTTTTCTCGCAGTAATCTTTAAAAAAAAACATAAATTAGAAGTGCTTATAAAACCTTGATAGATACATTATTGTCATCGAGTTAACTCATTTTAATGGTTCATCTTACAAAGTTGTGATCCGAAACCAAATTAAGAGAAGGCTACTGTATACAACACATACCACAGTGCGTAGGGACAGGGATCCTTGATAAAGGATATGACCATTTGTTTTTATGTTATCTACAAATATGTATGTTACAATTTCACTCAGATAATCGATTCTTTTACCAAGAGATGCCTCCAAAAACGTTCTTGTCCTATTCCGTCTTTACGTATTGCAGAGTTATCTTCTCTTGTGAGCAGGTATTGATTGTTACGTCATTGGTTATTGTGAGAAAATTACGTCGTTTTCTCAAATATTGATGACGTTACTCTCACAAACAACTGACGTAACAATCAATACCTGCTCACAAGAGAAGATAACTCTGCAATACGCAAAAACGGAATAATGTCCCTAATACGTATTCCACATATATCTAAAATTCATAAAAGTAAGCTTTTTACGTACCTTCTATTCTGTTGCATCAATAGTTTATACCAATTTTGAGTATTCCTACTTGTTTTCCCTTGGCAAATCTGATTTGTTTTCAATAGGACAAAACAGCTATATGATGCGGTGACGTTCTGTTGTCGCTTTAATAATATTTGAAGATTTGACTATAATTTGTTTCCCGTCAAAGTGATATTTTTCTCAGATACTTACGAAACTATACATGGACAATAATGGGCATATGTAGACGAGCAGAATGTGTTTTATTTTCCGATCGGTATCACACATGGCCACCGTGGCCTGTACTTAATTAATGCATTGATGGTGTACGCCAAGGTGACGCAAACGGTCCCTTTCTTTTTTGTGATTTTGCTCTAAGAATTTATGGGTATTATGGCAATGCAAATAGAGGGCTGTAGGGTACTTATGTAACGGGCACCGCAAAAATTAAAACTTGCTTATTTTATGATTACATTTTTATTTATTTTTTTCAATTTATTGCAGGTCAATGTTACCGTATACAATATGATAGCAGCTTTGGAAAATGCGCTCAGTATTATCGGAAACACCATTTTGGTAGGAGAACCAGAAAGTGTTATTGAGAGAAGCAATGTGATCATGACATTGGAGAAAACGACATTACAAAGTCTAGTCAATCGAACAAATAATAAAACTGCTTTCAGAATGGACTTCAGCAATTTCACTGCCAACTTCAATGAATCAGAAGAGTTACAGATTAAGGTAAGATGCCAAATTAAACTAATTTTTCATTTTATATACAAAAGGTGGCATCAACTAATGCCTACTAAAGTCAATAATAAACTGCCTTTTGCTGGGTAATCGAAAGATATTTTCGACTGTGGAACCTCATTCAGGATCAAACACATTCCATTATACCTGTAAAAGGCGATATAATCTAATGGTTTTCTGATGTTATAATGTTAGTAAAGAAAACTTGCATTTGCTGGTTTTCGACAGTGGAACCATTTACAACATTTAACTTATTTCATTTTACATCAAAAAGGCAACGAAATAAGCTAATGTTTTTTTTTATTATTTTATTAGTAAAATTGGATTTTAAGTTCTATCAAAAATATTTGCAAATCAATAAAATCCCTTTTCAAAGAAAAGAAACTAATTTATAATTTATATTCTGACGTCATCACGTTAATCACACATTTATATGTTTTTCTCAGACGGCAGTCTTCAAAAAGATTCCCCAGTACCATGGTAAAGGGGCAAATAAACTGACCTCAAAAGGAATCATGGTTGACGTTAAACACATCAATGGCTCACGGGCAAACATTAGCATGGATCTGCAAATCTCTAATGAAGGAGTTGCTTTCTCAAAGAAGTATCAGCCGCTTTATTTTCAGGATGATCCAGACCGGATGTTTTATTTCATTTTTGATGTGTCGAGTGAAAATGATGCCGTCATATGTTATATCCGACCTGAAAATTTCAACCCGTTTGAATACACGTCCTTTGGGCTTTATGACGTGTTTGTTCGGTACAAAGACATCCCGTCAACTACCTTGTTTGACTGGACCTACAGCATGACCATTAGGGATTGGGTAAATGCTAAATATGGCTTCAAAATCTTCGTTCCGGAAAACATACTCAATGTTGGCAAAGGTTACATGGCACTGAAGCCTCTCAGTGGTAAGTGGGTTTATCGAAACTAGACACATATAAACTTTTTCCTCTGAAATAGTACAGTTATTTATATATTTTCTATCATCACCATAGATAGTGTACCATTTCTCTTTGTACATGTATATGTTCAGTTAAAATTTTAAGTAATCAGAAAAAATATGCTTATTGATATTATGAAATATTCGGTTAAATGCATTTTTCCTTTCACTTTCAATTTTCTTATCATGAAGGAACCCTTTTCATTATAAACAATTATTGAAATATGTCTTTCAGATTTTAGTAAACACAGTAGTGCGCTGGAGTTAACATCGTAGTGCAATGGAGTTAACATTGAAATAAACTGCAGAGCACTTCAATGTTTTCTCTAGTGAACTTTTTTATTCACTGCGTGTGCACTAGATAACAAGTAAAGTTTGCTCCCAACTGTACGGTTCCTCCCGCAACTAAATTACTAACTATGTGCTAAAAGTTATGGTATGTGAAGTTCAATACTAGTGACTAGCTGTCTAGATTCATAAATAAATACCTAAACAAAGCTTCAAAAGGCATTTTTTACAGGTTTAATGACATATTAGAACATCACATCCTTCAGTTGATAACATAAGAATGCACCAATTTCGTCACATCGGTGTAAAGGTCAACATTACAAATCGCTCACTCAGTCATAGCTTGACATAGGAACCAGTTGAGTCTTGAAACGTTGCGACACGTTTAATACGTACATTGTTTGTGTATCAAATACAACTTTAATATTTCATATTTCCGAACTGATGAATCTTATTAAAGATATTATTGTAACCGGTCCATTGAAATATCCAAAACTAGAACATGATCTTGGATAAAGAAACTTTGTCTTGATGTTGTAATATGATATACAGCGCCACCTCCGCCCAAGATAAGTACCAGACTTAGAAAAAGACGATCAGTGGGTGCAAATACAACATCAACCAATCAGACGATAACATCGAATGATACACGCATGTTTGAACCTGCTAACGTCAACTTCACCATGGTGATTGTGACGACTGGTTGCCGCACGTGGGACGAGGACAGGCAAATATGGACCTCCACAGGCTGTACCGTTAGTATTTCAGTAACAAATCGCAAATCTCATAATTCCTAAATTATGTCTAGTTTTTTTAAAATTATAAATGAAATAAATGTAGCTTAACAAGAGAAATGTTCATCCAAAAATACATTCCTATACCTCATTTTTTATTTTTTTCAAAAATCAAATCCATCATTCTTTTGATAATAAAAAATGGCATATTTTCGGTTATTCCTTATATTTTAACAGTTGTCTCTTATATTTGTACATGTCTAGGTACTTCCTTTCTCCACGCTGAACGAGACTCTCTGTCGGTGTCCGGAAGCCACTGGAAACATGTTTGCAACCACATTCGCCAACAGCATTAACTTCAGCACTGTTTGGTCAAAGTTTGATGTCAATAACGCTTCAGTGTATGGAACGTTGATAGCACTTATAGTTTTGTACGTACTTGTTTGCATATGGGCCAGACGAAAGGACAAGAAGGACAACGAAATGGTTAGTTGTTGTTTTTTGTCGCTGTAAATCTTGTCAGTGAATAGTTATACCTATTGACTTAAAGTTCGGCATTTTTAACATATACTTATATCTAGTTTTCTCTATTCAGCTAATTATTTCTGGACTTTTAATTTGTAAATTATTCATTTTGCGTCTAAGAGGATGCTGTTAAGATACTTCTGTTAAGGATATTCGCAAAGGTTTTATATTTGCGCATTAGTCTCTTCTAACGAATTAAAGCAAAAATAATAATTTCTCACGAAAAAAATATCGTCACAGGACATTGTAAATATTTTGTACACATATCAGACCCATTCGCACACAAGAGAGAATGGTAAAAGCGATATTGTTTTACATTAATCCAAATTAATTTCGAATCCCGAAAAAATGTCAAGGACAACACAAATTGTCCTAATATGCAAATAGAGCGAGAGCGAGATGCAATGCAACGAGACACCGTACACAGATTTGATTTGCAATAACCAAGCACCAGAAAGGACGTCCGGCGAGACGGACGATTTGCTGGACTAAAATCAATGTTACACCAGCGGACCTCCCGAATCCAGTATGCCCGTCGTTTTTAACCTTTCTTCCATTAGCCTCGCTTCCGCACCACGTTTCTATTTTCAAATGTCTATATATAAGTTGAAGCGATACTCTTTCCTCAATAATACCGATTAATGATGTATGGGAATTAAATTACTCCACCAAACATTTCTTTTAACTTGATGAAAAAATAATGTTTATGAAATTTGCATTGTCCATACTGATCATCTCCTGTTAACTAAATCTTATGACTGGTTCTTGTTGCAGTGGAAAACCACGTTCCTGTGCGACATCGATAGCACTGACCAACATTTCTATCTGATGACCGTTCACACGGCGATGAGGCGTGGAGCGGGTACCGAGTCAAACGTCAGCTTCGTGGTAGGGAGCGATGACAAAGATTCTGGAGTCAAAATACTCAGTAACGGTGATAAAAAGGTAACGGCTACGTTATGCAGACAGGCAGATAAACTGAGTCTTATCTTATTGATAGAGAGAAATTCCAGCAGTTTATCAGTGACGAGACATGTAGACATTATCAAACTCTTAATAACATGGAGGCAATCCAATTGTCGAAGTTCCCAGAGACGGGCGTTATAGGTAAGACATGGAGACAATCCAGCTACCGAGGTTCTCAGTGACGAGGGATATAAATATGATCCGACTCTTAATGACAAGAGGACAATCCAGTTACCGAGGTTCTCAATGACAAGGTATATATATGATCCGAATCTTGAAGACAAGAGGATAATCCAATTACCAAGGTTCTCAGTGACGAGGGGTATAACTATGATCCGACTCTTAATGACAAGAGGACAATCCAGTTACCTAGGTTATCAGTGACGTGGGATATAAATATGATCCGACTCTTAATGACAAGAGGACAATCCAGGTACCGAGGTTCTCAGTGACGTGGGATATAAATATGATCCGACTCTTAATGACACGAGGACAATCCAGTTACCGAGGGTCTCAGTAACGAGTGGTTTAGATATGATCCGACTCTTAATGACAAGAGGACATTCCAGTTACCGAGGTTCTCTGTGACGAGGGGTATAACTATCATTCAACTCTTAATGACAAGAGGACTATCAAGTTACCGAGGTTTTCAGTGACGAGGGGTATAGATATGATCCGACTCTTAATGACAAGAGGACAATCCAGCTACCGAGGTTACCAGTGACGTGGGATATAAATATGATCCGACTCTTAATGACACGAGGACAATCCAGTTACCGAGGGTCTCAGTAACGAGTGGTTTAGATATGATCCGACTCTTAATGACAAGAGGACATTCCAGTTACCGAGGTTCTCAGTGACGGGGGGTATAACTATCATTCAACTCTTAATGACAAGAGGACTATCAAGTTACCGAGGTTTTCAGTGACGAGGGGTATAGATACGATCCAACTCTTAATAACAAGAGGACAATCCAGTCACCGAGGTTTTCAGTGACTAGGGGTATTACTATTATCCAACTTTAAATGACAAGACAATCCAGTTACCGAGGTTGTCAGTAACGAGGGGTATAGATATGATCCGAATCCTAATGACAAGAGGACAATCCAGTTACCGAGTCTCTCAATGACAAGGGATATATATATGATCCGAATCTTAACGACAAGAGGACAATCCAGTTACCGAGGTTCTAAGTGACGAGGGATATAAATATGATCCGACTCTTAATGACACGAGGACAATCCAGTTACCGAGGGTCTCAGTAACGAGGTGTTTAGATATAATCCGACTCTTAATGACAAGAGGACAATCCAGCTACCGAGGTTACCAGTGACGTGGGATATAAATATGATCCGACTCTTAATGACACGAGGACAATCCAGTTACCGAGGGTCTCAGTAACGAGTGGTTTAGATATGATCCGACTCTTAATGACAAGAGGACATTCCAGTTACCGAGGTTCTCTGTGACGAGGGGTATAACTATCATTCAACTCTTAATGACAAGAGGACTATCAAGTTACCGAGGTTTTCAGTGACGAGGGGTATAGATATGATCCAACTCTTAATAACAAGAGGACAATCCAGTCACCGAGGTTTTCAGTGACTAGGGGTATTACTATTATCCAACTTTAAATGACAAGACAATCCAGTTACCGAGGTTGTCAGTAACGAGGGGTATAGATATGATCCGAATCCTAATGACAAGAGGACAATCCAGTTACCGAGTCTCTCAATGACAAGGGATATATATATGATCCGAATCTTAACGACAAGAGGACAATCCAGTTACCGAGGTTCTAAGTGACGAGGGATATAAATATGATCCGACTCTTAATGACAAGAGGACAATCCAGGTACCGAGGTTCTCAGTGACGTGGGATATAAATATGATCCGACTCTTAATGACACGAGGACAATCCAGTTACCGAGGGTCTCAGTAACGAGTGGTTTAGATATGATCCGACTCTTAATGACAAGAGGACAATCCAGCTACCGAGGTTACCAGTGACGTGGGATATAAATATGATCCGACTCTTAATGACAAGAGGACATTCCAGTTACCGAGGTTCTCAGTGACGGGGGGTATAACTATCATTCAACTCTTAATGACAAGAGGACTATCAAGTTACCGAGGTTTTCAGTGACGAGGGGTATAGATACGATCCAACTCTTAATAACAAGAGGACAATCCAGTCACCGAGGTTTTCAGTGACTAGGGGTATTACTATTATCCAACTCTTAATGACAAGACAATCCAGTTACCGAGGTTCTCAGTAACGAGGGGTATAGATATGACCCGACTCTTAATGACAAAAGACAATCGATTTAGCGAGGATCTCAGTGACGAGGGATATATATATCATCCGACTCTTAATGACAAGAAGACAATCCAGTTATCGAGGTTATCAGTAACAAAAAAAAAACAGATGAAAAAGAAAAAACAGTGACTGACACTATAGTTTTAGTCATGTTCTGCACGTCAATATTAAAGATAATCAGATTACCATTGAATATAAAAAGACGTTAGCAGACAGACCTATAGTCTTTTTTTTACAGACATATTATACCCAGCGAGACCAATACTCATTACCAAGCAAGGACAAACTAAAATGTCGGCACTTCCTTAGAAACTATAGTCGGAAGAAACGGGGAAGATCTCTAAACAAGATTTGTTTTCATTTTTTTTTTTCAATCTCAATTGACAGCTTTTTAACTTGCACTGTCAGCTTTCAGCTTAGCAAAGATAGTCATTTGATATACGGTAAGTTAATGTAGAAACAGCTGCAAGTGATTATTTACGTAATAATATTTTATTGCTATACATATCTACAGTAAACAAATTTCAGGGATTTCCAACCGGAAGTGTACGCAAGTTTATAATGGGAACATTTGAATCACTTGGAAATCTACAATATCTTAGGATCAGCCATGACAACTCTGGTAAAGGGAACACGGCCTCGTGGAATTTACATAAAATTACGATTGATGATCTTCACAACAATAACAGGTAGGATATAATCAATGTTATATTCTGTCCTAATATTGATTTTTATTACATCTCATGAAAATAAAGAAAAACACAAAAAAACACACACACAAATATTACGAAATATAAAAACAAATATTTGTAAAAATGAGGAAATCGTATTGGTTATGTCCCTTGAATTTCGATTTGACAATCGATAATTTCGTACATGTACGTACGGTAACTTTGTTCACAGTTTTCTAAAGTGAACCATTAAGCTGACAATAATTCACATTGAGCAGTTAACATACATTGTTAGTTGTATTAAGTGGTCGGGTGGCGCAGTGGATAGCGCATTCGCCTTTTACAAAGACGGCCGGGGTTCGATTCCCCGATCGGACGTGAAACTGTTAACGATCAACTACCCGACCATGTGGATTTTCTCCGTTACTTCGGTTTCCAACATCAAGACCCCCTCCGTGCTATCAAGAGTGATTAATTTAAGTTGACAGAAATTGTTTTGCAGTTCTATAAAAACAACTATATCTTTATTTGAAAAAAGTTGTACTTAATGTTTTTTTATATTTAATAGAAGTTGTACTCCAATTTTCATTAGACTTTCATTCTTGTATTTTGAATCGATATTGAGCTAGATTTAGCCTCGTGTTGTGACTGTATGATTTCCATTTATCCCCGATATCCCCGTTAATGTATTTTCATAATCACGAAGAAAAATAATCATGAATTAAGTTCTATGTATGCGATAGCCGATAAGTAAGATTCTGATTACATATTTCAGATTTGTTTTCCTTTGCGAAAACTGGCTGTCTGCTGATCACGAAGATGGACAGACAATACGGACAATCCCTGTATGTAACAATGAAAAGCTGAGTGAATTTAATACTTTGTTCCCAGAATACATGAGACATGGTATAACCGAGGACCACTTGTGGCTCTCCGCATTCATGCGTCCGGAAAGAAGCAGTTTTAGTCGCTTGCAGCGAGTATCATGCATCCTTATGCTCCTGTTTCTGACAATGATCACAAACGCCATGTTCTTCAAGTCAGACTCAGAGGAAGCTGAGCAGGCTGCTCATGTCTCCATTGGGATGATGCGGTTTTCCTTGACAACAGTGTATATTTCAATATTCGGCATACTAATAACAACAGCTCCGGTTTTATTGGTGACATTACTGTTTACTTACTCAAAACCGAAGCAACCGAAACAACAAAAGTCGAAGAACAAATATCTGGAAGAGGAGTGGCAGCAGAAGCCTCATAATGACTATACCCTCTATTCTATGGACCACTTGCCTCTTCCAACTTTTGTTAAGTACATAACATGGATTATCGTCGGTCTCGCCGTCAGTACATCCGCGTTCTTCCTGCTGCTTTTCAGCATGGAGTGGGGCAAGAATAAGTCGGATGAGTGGCTCACGTCCTTTTTATTTTCAACAGCGTCTTCAGTTGTCTTCGTGGATCCCATGAAGGTACATTTTAGTATTTGACCGACTGTTGAAGCTATCGTTTTTTCTTCTTCTATATTTAGTTATTTGCCTTTTTTTTAAATTTGTCACAGTTGTTTAATTTTTTGATACAGCTACAATCGCGTAATAAGAAGACACGTCAGCAAAACTGATCGTAGTAAATGTTATGCATCTAAACTAATGAAACCAACATTATTTAATATTGTACTGAAACTTGACGCTTTATGTTTCTTTTTTACCTTAAATGCATAGTTTGCGTAGCGTGAAGAAGAATTGTTGATGTTTTAGGTTTTATTGTTCGCAATGCTGCCAATTATCATGTGCCGGAAACCATTTCAAAACAAAGCTCCAAGGATGAATTTACAAAATGTGCGCAAGGTGGCCATGCAAATGAACGGTAGTAATATCCGAGACCTTATATGTAAGTACAAATTGTTTTTAGCATGTTTGCAATAATTATTCATAAATTTTGTGTAACTGTTTGATTGGTTTTGATGTATTATACAGTAAATATGATTTTGGGTGGGGTTCAGAGATCTGGATTAACTTGTTATCGTTAATGCCGTTGTATTGTTGTAGTTAAATATTGACAGGTATTCAGGTTCGAGTTATTACTGGTACATTACTAATACTGTTTCATCACGATAATTTGTACATGGTGATAACTAGATGATCACGATAACATCATGATAACTTGTAAATTAACCGGCACATTGCAATCACAGTAACTGGTACGCCTCGGTTATTGGTACATCATAAAAACTGGTACAGTCCATCAACGTGTACATCACAGTGACTGGTAAATCCTGATTACTGGTACATCACAAAAACTGGTACATCCGAGTTAAAAAAATTATTCCAAATTTTTGGCCTCTAACCAATGAGTCATATTGGGACGAAACAGCTGGACGATGAAGTGTAATTCATTTTCAGCGTCTTTTATCTATAACCAAATTGTAAAGGTTTAACAACCAATGTTAGTGTTACGATCGTCTTTCAAGAAACAAGCTGGTAGACTCTGCTGGTGGATTTTGTATTTCCCTAGTTTGCTGTAGCCTTGATTGTCAAAGGTATTTTTTTGAATAGTTGCATGGATCATAGGAAACACACTATTGTTTTTGTATTTACATTTGAAATAAACCAATACACCTCTTATTTTTGAAATTTATAAATTAAAGACAGATTAAAAGTGGGGTTGAATTTCCAACTTTTTGGCCACTATCAGCACCTATGTGTCCTAGAAGGACTATAATGCAATGTATTTACTTTTCGGCATACTGTATTTATCAACCAATTTTAAAGCTACAATCACCTGTATATATGTTACGTTCATTTTCAAAATATCATAACGAGTAAATCGTGTATTGTATAAACCATGTCACTACTCAAAAAACCATTACTGTGGTTATCAAAGTTACGTCAAATCTCGGGGGCTTAGAAATCTGCCAGGAGAGTATTGACTTTACGAGCCTTTCGGACCTCTTGTCTGTATATTTAAAGATGAACGTGAAACAAGCAAAGGTGATTGCACCCTTAAAAATATGGCAATATATATAGAATGCAAAATTTTAATTACACTGCATCTTATCAGTTTGACAAAGACTTAAGAGGGTTTTAATTTCCCCCTCGTAAAAGAATTGGAAAACATCCGACACACGTTACATATATCTATTATCGAACGAATACTCCTCAAGAATGTATGTACATTTCGCAAGAATTGTCTCCCATTAATTGATAAGCACATTATATTAACTATACAAATTTATCAAACCGTCTATAATATATATAATATATATTCATATTTTGATATAAATTAAAAAGTGTTCCTGTGATCGGTACAGTGAAAATAAATACGCAATCTAGCCTTTCGCCCATTCATAGGTTATCAGGCAATTGATTTCTTATTATGACGTCATAGTTCAATTTTAAGGGCATCATATTACACAAATATGTGAAAAACAATGTTTCATTATAAGAAAACATGTAAAAGGAAAGTAATGTAGAGTAAGTGATGAACAGTTGAAAGCTTGCTTTTGATTATGTCTCATGTTTATTATCTTTTAAATATCGTTTCACACTACAGGATTGAATTGAATATTCAATAGGTTTTATATATAGGTGATTCGAGGGTGGGTTTTTTAACGTGTATGTAGATGCAATACACTTTCTGCCATACCGTAAACAATTAAAACACCTTTTTACATATCACATATACATCTATAATTGTTAAAATTTCCAATATTGTATATTAAATATATATATTTAAAGATTAATTTTATTTTATAGATTTCCGTTCGTCCATTTTATCATCAAATGCTTCCAATGATGACGCTGACGCTGTAAGGAAAGTACGCATACAACTCGAAAAGGAAAGGAAAGCTCTGCAAGCGTTCATGGAAATTATTTTCTACGTCTTCTTTTCCTATGTAGTGTTCAGTATAAGTTATATCGATAGGGATGTGCGATCCTATCAGTTAAAGCATCATCTTCTCAATGAAATGAATCCTCCCAAAACTGGATTTCGACAGGTAAATATATACATATATACTTATTCATTTCCCTTCGAATGTATGATATATAAGTTTAAATATGTTTAGGCTTACTGAATTATAAAATAGTTCATCACATACTGTACTGTGTTATCCAATTAACATACCCATGTCATATTTTTTGGCGTAATAACCCATGTAATATGACGTATTAGCCCTGTGGTTGGTTGTAAGTTTCAATTGTTTAAATTGTGACGTCACGCTAGGACAAGTACATGACCTCGCAGACTTACGCACTAGAGTCAAAATGGCGGCTTTTTACATTTCAAGGTTGCATGAAAATTGTCGTTTTACAGGAATAAATGCCACAAATCTTGGTAATGTGATAAAAAGGATCTTAGACTCGTTTTCATTATCCATTTCATTTTCGATTCGTCACGATTTTTTCATTTTAGCTCGCCGGAGGCTCGCTAAATTGAAAATTTCTTAAGACTTGTTTCATAAATCTCATATAAAATGGATACTTATGCAAGATCCTATATTTACGTGCAATCACATGCCCTTTACGTTCATCAATAGACAATATCGATACAAACAGGGTTAGCATGCGTTCTGTTCAATTAAAGTTAATGGTAACTGATATCATAAATGACGTTAAGACACTCAAAATACGTCACTTCCGCCAACAGACAACAAGTGTTCATCTGAAAATTGCTACTATTTCGATGTCAAAATTTTTAAATAAATCGAATTCAATTCAGCTGTTTCTACCATTTGCCGTTAAAACAGTTAAAATAAAAAATATTTTATCAAATTAATTCAAAAACGCTTCCTTAAAACGCCTATTGAAATCAAATCAAAGGCGTTTGAACATATTTTTTTTTTTTTTTTTTTTTTTTTTTTTTT